CAAAGCAAAATTGTTGTGAATTTTCAGCACCAACATACTTGAGTTAAAATTGTGTTAGCCACCATAAGCAAAATATTATAAGTAATGGTATTATTCAGGCAGAAGTGGGTTATAGTGATTATTTCACTATAAAAAGAAATTAATTTAGACATCTAGATGTGGTGTAGAGGACTTGCTGAAGTTCAAACCAAGCATCAGAATGGGGAAGAAAGAGGATTTTAGTGACTCTGAACGTGGCATTTGTGTTGGTGCCAGACGGGCTGGTCTGAGTATTTAAAAAACTGCTCATCTGCTGGGATTTTCATGCACAGCCATCTGTAGGGTTTACAGAGGATGGTCTGAAAAAGAAAGAAAAAAATATCTAGTGAGCAGCAGTTGTGTGGACGAAAATGCCTTGTTGATGTCAGAGGTCAGATGAGAATGAGCAGACTGGTTCAAGATGATAGAAAGGCAACAGTAACTCAAATAACCACTCATTACAACCAAGATATGCAGAATACCATCTCTGAATGCACAAAACGTTGAATCTTGAAGCAGATGGGCTCCAGCAGCAGAAGACTGCATTGGGTGCCACTCCTGTCAGCTAAGAACAGGAAACGGAGGCTACAATTTGCACAGGTTCATCAAAATTGGACAATAGAAGATTGGAAAAATGTTGCTTCGTCTGATGAGTCTTGATATCAGCTGCGACATTCAGATGGTAGGGTCAGAATTTGGTGTAAACAACATGAAAGCATGTATCCATCCTGCTTTGTATCAATGGTTCAGGCTGGTGGTGGTGATGTAATGGTATGGGAGATATTTTCTTGGCATACTTTGAGCCCCTTCCAACTGAGCATCGTTTAAAATCCACAACCTATCTGAGTATTTTTTGCTGACCATGTCCATCCCCACATGACATGACTACAGTGTACCCATCTTCTAATGGCTACTTCCACCATGTCACAAAGCTCAAATCATCTCAAACTGGTGCTATGAACATGGCAATGAGTTTCACTGTACTTCAATGGCCTCCACAGTCACCAGATCTCAATCCAGGGGTCAGAGGAGAATGGCAGACTGGTTGCTGCGACATTCAGATGGTAGGGTCAGAATTTGGTGTAAACTACATGAAAGCATGGATCCATCCTGCCTTGTATCAATGGTTCAGGCTGGTTGTGGTGATGTAATGGTGTGGGGGATATTTTCTTGGCACTAGCAAGGTGCACTTAATAAAGTGGGCGGCGAGTATATATTAGGGTGTCAGGAAATAAGCACTAGACTACTCAGCTGTAAGAGAAGTATGAATATTGTCACAGATTAGGAGTAAATAGCAACATACACATATCCATGAGCAGGTAGAACAAAAAATTTGCTCACAGTAAGCTAAATGATATAGCAGTCTAGTCTAAATTACCGTATTATTAAAGCATAGCATCAATTAACCTAGCAATACATAGCATCAGTAATGATTAATAATCCCACAACAGTGAACATTATCAGCAGTGATTATATAATCCCACATATATTTATATATATATATATATATAGCTAAATACATACACTATACTGCCAAAAGTATAGGAACACCCCTCCAAATCATTGGATTCAGGTGTTCCAATGACCTTCATGGCCAGGACCATAGGAAACCCCACGGAGGGTGACCCCCCCCCCCCCCCCCCCCACAGTCATCGCCGCAGATTAGGGTTTTGACCTCCCCGTGGGAGGAGGAAGACCATCTGCAGCCACTTCAGCTAAAGTGGAAGAAGGTGGTATTGAGGAGGTGAATGAGGGGCTACAGAGGATGGTGAGTCAAAACCTAAAATGGACTAGCACTGTTTAAAGATCATCAGGGGGGGGATCACCCAGGGCGTCCTGAAGGAGTAAAAACAGAGCTATAAGAGAGAAAAAGGATCCCCTAGAGAGGAAATTGTTGTAGGGGGGGGAAGGAAAGAAAAGGAAAGTTTCAAGGGACACTGCCTCTGGAGAGTCATAACCCTAATCTACCCCATAGAAGTAACCCTCTGGCCTGGGAAACATTTTAAAAAATATATTAACATCATGAAAAGCAAAGTGGCAAAAGGGGGAGGGTCAAAGTCATCCCAAACAAGTTCAATTAAAAATATATACCTCTCACAAGAGAAAAATATAGAGGGACAGACCCCAGAGAGATAACAAGGAGTAAGTGGAAGATGGGAGATGGAAAGGACCAATGGCGATCGCTCCAGATTGTCTGTGGGAGTATCTAATATCTGTCAAAGTGTAGAAGCTGAAGATATAGAAAATGAGTCGGTTATTGAGAATTCTGAAGAGCAAGAGAGGACCTCACAGATGCCTACTAAAGCTGATATAGCAGACATGTTTACGAGACTGGAAACGTTCTATAAAACAGGAGGCAAAAATACATAAAGATCTGCGACAAGTTTTGTCACGAGTAAAGGAGACTGAGGGGAAATTGGATAAACATGCCCAAGCAATAACAAAAATTAGAAAAACAGATGGAAGAAACAAGAAAGGAGCAAATTAATCTGCTATATAAATTGGAAGATCAGGAGAACAGAGATAGAAGGTGTAATTTGAGGATATGGGGCTTACCTGAGACCTCGCAAGGAGAAGATTTGATAAAAATAATGGTGAAAATGTTTAATACAATGACAGATCATCAACAGAGCACCTGACGACCGATAGAGTGCACAGAATACGAAGACCCCAAGGAAGCGGGAGTGAAAACCCTAGGGATGTGATCGTACGATTCCATTATTACAGAGACAAAGTGGAGCTATGGAAGAAGATAAAAGGAAGACCAGTAATAAAATATGGAGAAGCAAATCTACAGATTTTTGTTGATATATCATCGGAAACATTGGCTAGAAGGAGAATGCTGAAACCATTACTGAAACATATGAGAAAACAGAACTTACAATACAGCTGGGGATTTCCAGCATGCTTAATTGGTTGGAAAGATGGTCGCTTTGCAAAAGATTCATGAAAGACTTGAGAGACTTTTGTGAGAGACTTGAATTACAGAATATAGATATTCCAGGATGGGAAGGGTGGGTAAAAGAGAATAGGGGAATGAGAGCTGGCAGTTAGCCCCCAGAGGGAAAAGGCACCAGAGATAAAACAGGGGAAGAAGAGTAGGAACAGGAAGGAGATTTGTGGAAGTCTGTAGATGACTTCCCCCTTTTTTTTCCTCTCCCCCCCCCTTATTTTTGTTTCCTCCTCTCCTTCCCCTCCTCCTAAGTAAGGTAGAAAATTTTAGAAGAAATGTGGGAAACAGGCAGGATGTTGCATAGACATCCAGACATGCAGCTTAGGGTTTGGTAATGCGGTCTGGATGGGTGTATGTGGTCAGAGCTCCACCCTAGCTTGGAATTGATGGTAGGATTAGGACTACAAATGATTCAAAAAGCAAGCTAAGAGCCTAGGGGGGAGTAGGGGTAGGTTATGGAATGGGGAGAGGGGAAGGGAAGGAGAATCTTGTGGGGGATAGCTCTGTGTTCCTTCGGAAGGATGATGGTACTCTCATTAAGAAGAACTTAGGTGGAGAGAAAAAAAAATATATATGGGAAATGGAGGAGGTTAACTTTTTGACCTATAATGTTAAGGGGTTGAACATCCTGGAGAAAAAGCATAAGATCCTGAGAGAATTACAACAACGATCTATTACAAAAGCGTTTTTACAGGAGATTTATTACAGGAAACAAATGTGAAGTTAGATTCTAGATATTACCCAATCTGGTATTATGCAGATTCACCAACTAAGCATGCTAAAGGAGTGGCAATTATATATAGGCTAAAATTTAAGATTTAAGTTGGAAGATAAGTTGGAGGATCTCGAGGGGTGTTTTTTTGTTAATGAGGGGGAGACTACAGGAAATAGAGTGTACACTGGCAAATATTTATTGCCCTAACAGAAATCCAATGGCCTATCTGAAGAATATATTGAGAAGGATTCTGGATTTTAAAATGGGTAAATTAATTGTGGCAGGAGATTTTAATTTTTGCATGGACCCTCAGATTGACACGACGTCGCATGTGCAGAGAGGGGGAGGTAGATGTCTGAAATCTATGCGAAGAATGTCATTTTAATGTCAACTATTAGATGTTTGGAGAGTTAAACATCCCATAGATCGAGCCTATACGTTCTACTCTATGCCAGATTAGATTATATATTGATGAAACATAGACTCTTGGAGTCGCTGGTTAAAGTAAATATAGAAGTTACAACAATATCAGACCATGCACCTGTTATAATGAGTTATCATGGGGAAGAGAGCAGAATAAGATAAATACGTGGAAACTAAATGAGACACACCTTCAGGATCATGAGACGGAATTGAGAATAAAAAAGAAATGAGACTGAAGGAGTTTCAATGGCCACGGTGTGGGAAGCACATATCATGGGAATTTTGATAGCGATTGGGGTAAAAAAAAAATGGCAAAAGAAAATGAATGTGCTTTTAAGGGAACTATATGAACTAGAACAGTTACATAAAATGAAAATAACAAAAGAGATACAGCAGAGTATAATAAATAAGAGAGAGGAACTACGTAATCGAATGGAGGAAGAAACGAGAAGAACATTTAATATGATGGCAAGAGAGATATGAGTGGGGGAATATACCTGATAAATATTTAATGAGAGCACAAAGAAATAAGAAATCAAAGAATTATATAGAGAAAATTAAAGATAAACGGAGAATTGGTTTACTCAAGCACTGATATTGCCAATGTATTTAACCACCTCCCGCCCGCCATATAGTAATATGATGGACGCAAGGTGGTTCTCTTATTCTGGGAGGACGTCATATGATGTCCTCATCATTCTCACCGCGCATGCGTGGCTCAGGGAGCGATTGGCGGTGCGCTGTGTTCCTCGGACGTAGCGGATCACATGTAAACAGGGAAATGCCGGTTATCGGCATTTCTCTCCACTCAAGCTTTCACGCTGACAGCTCATGAGGAGAGGAGAGCCGGTAATCGGCTTTCCGCGGAGGGGATTGCACTTATCAGGGCATTGATGATCAGTGTGCCCTGATGATCAGTGTAGCCCCATCAGTGCCTTGTGTCAGTGCTCATCAGTGCCACATCAATGCCACATATCAGTGCCTACCAGTGCACATCAATGCCACATATCAGTGCCCATCTGAGCTGCCTTTCAGTGCCACCCATCAGTGCCAATCAGTGCCACCTATCAGTGCTGCCAATCAGTGCCACCTATCAGTGCTGCCAATCAGTGCCACCTATCATTGCTGCCAATCAGTGCCATCTATCAGTGCACATCAGTGCCGCCTATCAGTGCACATCAGTGCCGCCTAACAGTGCCATGTATCAGTGCTGCCTTTCAGTGCCCATCAGTGCCCATCAGTAATGCCTGTCAATAACCATCAGTGCCACCTACCAGTGCCTCCTCATCAGTGCCCATCAGTGCCACCTATCAGTGCAGCCTCATTAGCGCACATTAGCACACATCAGTGAAGGAGAAAAATCACTTATTTACAAAATTTTATAACAAATACTAAGAAAAAAAAAACTTTTTTTTTTTCAAAATTTTCAGTGGTTTTTGGTTTGTTTAAGAAAAAAAATAAGAAACCCAGAGGTGATTAAATACCACCAAAATAAAGCTCTGTCACCAAAAAAATGATAAAATTTCATATGGGTACAGTGTTGCATGACCACGCAATTGTCACTCAAAGTGCGACAGCGCTAAAAAGCTGGAAATTGGCCTGGGCAGGAAGGGGGTATAAGTGCCCTGTAGGCTTGTGGTTAAAAAATATTACAGTAAACGATGATGTTAACCTGAAACAGTTAAAAGGGGGGAGGCAAAAAGAACTAGAAAGAGACAGATGTATTTAATTTAGGCGGGACTACTGAGATTGGGAGAATAGTTAATGTTACGGTCTGGGTCAGGTTCAGAGACCAGTCGCTACAGCAGTGTAAGGCTTACCTGAAACCAGCAGGATAGGTACACCAGCAGGTCCCCCTGGGAATGACGCAGGCTCACCTGAGGTGCGGGGTCTAAGTATTAACCGGTTTTCACCAGAGCTCCTAATGGTGGAGATGGATTTGGCTGCGTGTTAATACCAGGTCGCAGATCTCAGTATCACCCCACCAGGGAATGAACAAGCTGGAAACCAATAGCGGATCAAACAGTTTAGTGATCAAACGGAAGCAGAGTCAGTCACAAGCCAAGGGTCGGTCACAAATGGTAGTAGATTAGGATGAGGCAAAATCGTAGTCAGTAGCACGCCAAAGGTCAGTAACAAAGATGTAGACAGCAGCAGGAACGATAAGCGGGATATTGGCTGGGAAGGCACAATAATCTGGCAAGGAGGAAGTGTGTGGACATGGCTTTTATAGGACATTCATGGGAGGAGCAAGGAGTTCAAGGTTCAAGGCAAAACAGGGCCAAGGCAGGATCATCAAAAGAATTGTCAAGGAGCTGTCCAGCATTCCAGGTGGCTCAGTGAGAAGAAACATTGCCTCTTGCTGCAGAAGGCCCAGGTTCGATCCCAGGTTCTGACAGTTAATATGTCTAGAAAAACCAATAATGCTGAGGAAATCCAGGTGTCACTGAAGGGTACAGTTTAAGGGAGGAACCTGAGGCCAGATGGGTATACGGTGAGATATTATAAAAAAATGTAAAGAACAATTAGTCTCTAAGCTGATACTATATATGAATACATAAGGAGATGGGATAGAAAGGAGGGAGGAGTCATTGCAAGTATACAGTATATCACAATTATTCAGAAAGAGGGAAAAGATGGAATACAATGTGCTAGTTTTAGGCCCATCTCACTATTAAATATGGATACCAAATGAAACTAGGCAACTAGGTTGAAAGACCTAATCCTGGAATGGATTCACTTAGACCAAGTGGGATTTGTCCACGGGAGGGAGGAAAGAGACAATGGGCTAAGATCACTATGCCTCAAACAAAGAAACAAGAGGGAAAAATCCCCCATACTGATTTTATCAGTGGACTCAGAGAAGGCTTTTGATAGAGTAGACTGGGTTTCTGGTTAGATACGTTGGAAGTTTTGGGAATTGGTCCCAAAATGAGAGAGTGGTTAGGGAAGCTCTATAGTCAACCCTCGGCAGCAGTAAGGGTTACTGGTTTGTTATTAGAGTTTTTTAAGATGTATAATTGGACAAGACAGGGGTGTCAGCTTTCGCCTCTGCTGTTTGTCTTATCCTTAGAACCTCATTTCGCAAGAGTAAGAAATAATATAAATATAAAAGGGATTCAGATAGGAGAGGCACATAAAGAGGCAACGTATGCAGATGACAAGCTATTTTATGTGGTTAATCCTAGGTTGACATTACCCAATTTAATGAAATTACTGAAATATTATGGAGAACTGTCAAATTTAAAAATTAACATGGTAAAATCAGAGATTTTAAATGTTAATGTCCTGACATCTGAGAAGAAAGCTTTGCAAAGAGAATTTCCCTTTTCATGGAGGGAAATAGAACTAAAATATCTAGGAATAAAACTGACCTAGTCTTTAAAGAACCTATATAAAATAAACTACATCCTATTAATAAATGAGATTAAGGAGGAATTGATGAGATTATCGGTAGGACCTCTATCCTGGATAAAATTAATAAATCTGATAAAAATGATAATTGTCCCGAAAATCCTATATAAATTTCATATGCTACCTATACAGATTCCAGGAACCTACTTTAAAGTAATTAAAAAATGATACTGAGGTATATTAGGTGGAATAAAAAAATGAAAATAAGCTACGAAGTGTTGTGTAGAGATAAGGAGAATGGGGGTTTAAGTGTGCCTGATTTTAAAAGATATTTCGACTCAGTAATATTATCATTATATATATTATTATATTTTTGATTGGATGCACAATGCACTAGGGAAAAGTTGGGTGTAGAAAACACATTAAGTGGGACACAATTAAATAGGATGGTGTGGTTGCCACATCAATATCGTGAGTTGGCAGAAAGCACAAGCACTTGTACACGAAATGTAATTAGGGTTTGGGATGTAATTCACAAACAAATGGGTTGGGAGTTCAATTCCATGTTGATGCCATTGGTGGCTACAGATTTCTGCCTGCCAGGGAAAGAAAATATTTCGGGTAATTGGATAAGAAAAGGGAATGCACAGTTAAAAGCTATAATGAACGAAGGAGAAATTTCCTCCTTTCAGGAGCCAAAAAATTAGGTTTTTTTAGATTAGATGAGTGGCGATATTTTCAATTAAGACACTTTGTTGCAATGCTCCCTAAATCCTTAAGGTCAATGGTGGATTTGAATCCATTTGAACAACTGTTTAGCACAAGTAGGGAATGGATGCACGGTACTTCTAGAATTTATAAAATTCTTACTGTAATAATAGAAGTTAGTTCCCCTCTGTATATGGAGAAATGGGAAAGGGCAACAGAAAAAGAAAAATATTTAGATTAGCACACGGGGCGATATACAGTATATGAAGGTGGTGGAAATGAATTACAAATGTTTAGCTAGGTTGTACATTACACCGAGTGTGGCACATAAGCAACAAGTAGACAAATCACCTATGTGTTGGTGGGGATTTGGGATTAAGGTCACAATGGCACATATATGGTGGGAGTGTCCTCAAATTCAGGAATATTGGGGGGGAAATAATTCACCAAATTCAGGAGATAACTGGGGTTAATATCCCAAAAGATCCAGGTGCATGTATATTTCATAAAACCGAGATCACAGTAGAAAAATATAAGAATTTGGTGATATTCCATCTTTTATTAATGCAGCAAAAGGGACTGATACCCACATTTTGGCAGGAACAAGAGGTACTGAAAATAAGATTGCATAAGTAGGGTAGATTATATATATAAGATGGAGGAACTCTACCATATGGAAGAAGATAAAATGAAAAGATTGTGGGAAAAATGAGATGAGTTTAAAAGATCAAATAAATATGTTGATATGAGAGAAATAGAGAAGGAGAGGAAGAGAGGACATGTATAACTAAGTTGGGAAAAGTGAGATAGATAAGAAAGGAAGAAGAAGAGGGAGTCCCTAGAGTAATTAGGAGAGAAGAGGAACGGGGAGCTAAGGGAGAAAGAATTGGGAGTGGATGGGGTGGGACGGAGGGGAAGGTTGGGTATAGGGGGGATGGTTTTTGGGGGGAAATGTTTAAAGGAAATTTTGTTTTTTAATATTATGATAATTTATGGATGTTAAGTTGAAATACTGAAAACGAATAAAATATTTATATATATCAAAAAAAAAAATCAAATACCAAAAATGGCTGCTCATTAGTCCTAGGCACACAGCGAACTCTGATCTGGATGCTTGGCTATTACCAATCCTTTTGGCTCTGCACTCAGGGTGACTCTGTTCCTCAGCACTTCAGTCCCCAGGCTACAGACAATGAGTACACACACAGCAGCAGAGATGTGCACTCTGCAGCCCAGGAAAAAACTGTTCCTTTTTCCTCCTGTTAAGTGTGTATCTCATGGAGTTGTAATACATCACTCCATTTACTCTAATGGCAATGACCTTTGCAGCCTACATCTCCCAAACTTCAATGCAGCCTGCATTGAGCCCTTTCAGTTTCTCAAGTCCCACCAGCTCCCCCTGGTGAGTGGAGGCATTGTCTTGTATAGACACGCAAAGCAGCTGCAGCACAATGTTTTAGGGCCAGGTCACAACACATGCATGGAAAGTATGTTATATGGTTTTCAATGGCATAGTTCACACCAATGCAGTCAGTTTTAGGGCATTCCAGTTCCAGAAAAAAAAAGTAGAACTTACTCCATTTTACCTGCACTGGACTGTAGTGGAATGCAGTAAAACGCATAAAAAACGCACCACAACGCACCAGATTGCATTAAAAATGCACCAGACAACAGTACAGTGAAAAAAAAATGGAAACAATTAAGAAAAAAGCATCTAGAATGCATCCAGATCAAAAACGCTAAAAAATCGCATCAGAAATGCGTTAAAAATGTGCATGCAGATACACATCTGGATTGGGATTGTTTTAGAGTTGGGAGTTGCAGAGATGTTTCCAATAACTAACCTGTCTTCCTTTATCCATGGTGCTTTAAATGGAAATATGTGCCAAAAAGTAACTTTAACAGCCAAAGGAAATGGTTTGAAGTGAACCACATTACAGCATTGCTACTAAATCTGCGTTAGCAAGATGAAATGTCAATGTAAGAGTAATTGAGTGCTTGTGGATAGGCAAAGAGGTACTTTTGGTAAGGGCACACTATACAGCCTGGCAAATCTATGTGTGATAATAAGACTATCTATCCACATATATTTTTTTCTTGTTTTTATTCTATCTTTATGTATACACACTCATTCCATATATTATTAGAGAGTCTGTGTGTAAGTATTTTCAGACAACTTTCACCAAGTATTCACACATTTTCCAGATAAATCCAATTAGAAAATGTTCAAAGGTTTTGTGAATCCTGAGTGAAAACATTTATAATTAGTGTTCCTTTAAGATAATAGCTCCCCTGCTCCCCCCCCCCCCGCCAAAAAAGAAAA